ATATATTTCAAAATCAGATAATAAATACTGCGTGAAGATCTTGTCAGCTGGGTTGAATATATTCATTTTAATTACATGCTTATTTATAGTTTCATTCATGTATTTTTATTTTTATTTTTATTTTATTTTTTTAGTCTCTTTCATTCTTATTTGAATATATTGGTGAGATGGGCAAAGATTACATTTACGCTGTAACGCCGTTATTGGAAGATGCATTGATGGATCGTGATTTAGTGCACAGACAAACAGCATGCACTACAGTTAAACGTGAGTACTATGTATATGCATGATATTACACAAACTCTGCTAATCAAGAATTAATCGTATTTGGTATATTTAGATATGTCACTCGGTGTTTTTGGATTGGGTTGTGAAGATGCCCTTCTTCACCTTTTAAATTACGTCTGGCCAAACATTTTTGAGACTTCTCCTCACGTCATAAATGCTGTCATGGAGGCAATAGAAGGGTTGAGAGTAGCGATTGGTCCAGCAACGATCTTACAATATGTATTACAGGTTTGTAGATATATAATTATTCGTACTGTAAACTATGAAATATATTGGTATTTATTAATTTTAAATTCTTCAGGGGTTGTTCCATCCCGCCCGTAAGGTCCGTGAAATCTATTGGAAGATATATAACAATTTATATATTGGTGCCCAAGATGCTTTGATACCATATTATCCTCGTATCGAAGATGATGAAAGAAACAATTATGAACGATATGAATTATCTATGTGGCTTTGAACTAGGGATGATAAGTTAGTTTCAGGTTCTAAAACCTTTAGGTTTCAAATTAAAATTCTTAGAACCAGGTTTTTATATTATAGGTTACAAACTAAGTTAAACCTGGTTTGGTAAATTTTAAAACCTATTCTCAATATTTGTAAGACATAAAAATAAAATATATTAATAAAAAGTTAATTCATGTCAAACTTTCAAAAATATATTTTGATCTTCTGAATAACTTTAAAATTTTGACCTTTATAAGATAAAAGGGGTAATATGGTGTGTTGGGTAAAGCTACATATCACATAATACCAAACCTAACATGAAGTCTATCCAATAGAGTCTAATAATTACACCATTCAATTTGTCTCACCAAGATGATTTGAAGTATAAAAAAAAAAAACATTTGTTTCTAATCACTAAACTACTAAATAGTCATACGTACAAATGACCTTATTCATATAGAGCGCAATTATTCTAAAAATACTAGTTTTTTTTATTTAGATCTATTAGTAAATTTGAATAAAAATTTCTAATGAAAATAGATGTTTTCAAAAACAAATATATAGTATGAATATAAAAATCGACATTGTTAAATCACACCGGTGGTGTTTTAACACCACAGTTGCTATTTCTCAAAAACTGTAAACAACCAAGGCCGAATGTATTAAGTAAAAATGTTCTAATTTTATCTTAATTTTTAACCCTAACCTT